ATGCATGCATTCCTCCTCTCTGAGACTTGGTTTTCTAAACTCTGCAATGAAACGAGCCTCCCTATTCTTGCAGGGTTGCTGAGAAAAGTGGAGATTGTGTATCTGTAGTAGGTTGTACACTGTGGGCGCCTAATATGTGCTGGTTGTTATTAGTATGCAGAAGGCACTCGATAAATGGTGGATGAATAAACAGGGCCCGGATCCCCAGTCTCATCTGGCCCTTGGCCCAGCACGGGGCTTCTGGGGAGCAGCATCAGCAAATATTTGCTGAGCGAACAAACTCGGGTTTCGTGAGTGTTGGGCAGCCACGTGGCAGGACTTCCTGTTTGTGTACCTATCAATGGCAGATGTGACACTCTGCAGAGAAAGCAGGTCAGCAACCTTTCCCCTACCCTCCCCCACGCCCCCTCGCTCTGAAGCCAGCACAGGGAAGTGGCTGTTGACAGGGCTGAAAGCTCATTTGTCCCCTGCGATGCTAAGCTGAGAGGTGGGTCTGTCCTTTTGAGTCCCTGAGCTCAGGCCTGGGCCACCTGGGAGCGGCAGGTCCAGCCTGTCCTGGGGCTCCCCAGCGTGTGGGCTCAGCAAACAGGGCTGCAGCAGACACCGGGCAGGGAGGGGCTCTGCCCACGCCCACCCTCAGTGCTTAGGAGCAGCCTGAGGCAAGGAGGGCTGGTCACTGAGGTCAGTGAAGGAGACACATGTCCCTGAATAGCCGGAAAGCAGCAGCCAGGACCCAACCAGGGTGTGGGCCTCCTGATGGCAGATTCCTGCAGGCCAGGGGAGCAGCAAGGTGCTCCCCATGGCCCAGACCCCTGGAAGTTCTGGGAGGCTCAGCCCCAACCACCGCAGGGTGGAGCGTGAGGGCCAAGGGCAGGGCCCCACCTGCCCCACACAGAGCTCCAGCCCAGCCACATCCCGGACGCCCAGCGTGTGGCCCCCACGAGTGACGACAGGCCCAGCTTCCCTGTGAGAGCGGCAGATGGCGAGTACCCAGGAGTGGGGAAGAGGGTGGCTGGCAGGCTTCCAGGACTCATCAACGCTTCCCACCCAGAAGGGACCCAGAAAGGGGCGAGATCCCCTCCCCCAGCCCAGATGGGAAGTGGGGGGAGGGAAGGCTGGCTGTAGGGAAGAGCACTGGATCGGGAGTCCGGGGCCCGGGTACGAGTCTAGCCTGACGTGCTGTGACCCAGAGGCACCAACTTCCCTTTTCTGGACCTCCTTTTCCCCATGTGGACCAGGGAGCGTGGGGCGGCAGGGGGTTCTCTGGCCTTTCTCCAGGGAAGACTGGCAGCCACCCCTGGAGAGATGTGTCCAGGGTCACAGTTCAGCCTGGGGGTGGGGCAGGGCGGGGTACACATGGGCAGTGCCCACCATGGGCTGTGGCCCAGCTCTGCCGGGGATCTTAAGAGGGTAGGGGAGTCTGGGGGTCCTGGACCCAGCATTCTGATGCCCAGTGGGTCCTGGCCAGGGTTCCCCTTAGGCTGCTGTCCCCTTGGCCTAGGCCAGTGATGGCGAACCTTTTGAGCTCGGCGTGTCAGCATTTTGAAAAACCCTAACTTAACTCTGGTGCCGTGTCACATATAGAAATTTTTGGATATTTGCAACCATAGTAAAACAAAGACTTATATTTTTGATATTTATTTTATATATTTAAACGCCATTTAACAAAGAAAAATCAACCAAAAAATGAGTTCGCATGTCCCCTCTGACACGCGTCATAGGTTCGCCATCACTGGGGCCTCACCACCCACTTCCCTTTTTCTTTTCTGTGCAAAAAAAAATCCCCTTGGCCTAGGCCAGTGATGGCGAACCTTTTGAGCTCGGCGTGTCAGCATTTTGAAAAACCCTAACTTAACTCTGGTGCCATGTCACATATAGAAATTTTTTGATATTTGCAACCATAGTAAAACAAAGACTTATATTTTTGATATTTATTTTATATATTTAAACGCCATTTAACAAAGAAAAATCAACCAAAAAATGAGTTCGCATGTCCCCTCTGACACGCGTCATAGGTTCGCCATCACTGGGGCCTCACCACCCACTTCCCTTTTTCTTTTCTGTGCAACCAGAGCGGGGCTTTCTCTATCAGAACCTGGAAACTCAGAGCAAGGAAACCAAAACATGGGTGGTGGGCCCGCAGCACGGGGCCCCGCTGGGATGTAGCTCTCCCAGCCTCCCGCCCCCTCCCGCCTGGTGGCTGCTGTCCCCTTAGCCTAGGCCAGTGATGGCGAACCTTTTGAGCTCGGCGTGTCAGCATTTTGAAAAACCCTAACTTAACTCTGGTGCCGTGTCACATATAGAAATTTTTGGATATTTGCAACCATAGTAAAACAAAGACTTATATTTTTGATATTTATTTTATATATTTAAACGCCATTTAACAAAGAAAAATCAACCAAAAAATGAGTTCGCGTGTCCCCTCTGACACACGCGTGTCCTAGGTTCGCCATCACTGGGGCCTTCACCACCCACTTCCCTTTTTCTTTTCTGTGCAACCAGAGCGGGGCTTTCTCTAACAGAACCTGGAAACTTGGAGCAAGGAAACCAAAACATGGGTGGTGGGCCCACAGCACGGGGCCCCGCTGGGACGTAGCTCTCCCAGCCTCCCGCCCCCTCCCGCCTGGCCTGGCCTCCACTCACCTGGAAGAAGGCAGCGTTAGCCAGACGCACCGGGATGGTCTGGGAGCTGCCTGTGGGCATGGGTACCAGGGGTGAAGGCAGGATCTGGGGGCAGTCCTGAGGGCTCTGCAGGCAAAACACAGGAGGTGGAGTTGACCGAGGAGGCATTTCAGAAGAGACGGCTTCATGGCCACTCGGCCTGCCCATGCAGTCAGTCCTGCCTCCCCGAGGAGATACCAGGCAGCTGGTGTGAGGAAACACTAGCAACGAAACTGTACGATCCACCAGCACTGAAGGCAACATGCCAGTGAGTCCCCACCCTCTCATTTGATCCTCATGGCAACTCCATGGGCAGGAAGGTGTACTGGCCCCATTTTACAGATGAGGAAACTGAGGCACAGAGTGATAACATAATCCGTCAAGTGGTAGAACTGGATCCCTCCCATGCCTCTGAGAGGAGGCCAGGAGGCTGAGGTTGAGGACCGGCCCCTGTGAAATGGGGGCTGTGCCTACACCCCAAGACTCCACCCAGCTCTGGAATGCCACTTTTCAGATGACACACATTAATGATTCAGAGAAAAGAAACCGGACTTCTGAATGGCCCATGAGAAACGGGCTGTGAAGGTCCTGGTGCCACCAGGCTCCAGTGGACAGCCTTTCCCGCTGCCTGGCTCGAGTCACAGCTCTGGGCAGAGGCGCCAGCTCCCAGAATCCCAGGGAGGCCCTGGGCATCATCATTCCCATGGCAGAGGTGGAGCCACTAAGGCTGTTTCAAAGAAGGAAGGGAAGGAGGGAGGGAAGATGAGCAGGCAAGAACCTGAGGTTCATGCCGATCCGGTGTGGCTCAGTGGTTGAGCGTTGACCCATGAACCGGAGGTCACGGTTCGGTTCCTGGTCAGGGCACATGCCTGGGCTTTCATACAGGAGACAACCAATCAATGATTCTCTCTCAGCATTGATGTTTCTATCTCTCCCTCTCCCCTCCTCTCTGAAATCAATAAAAATATATTTTTAAAATACATATTAAAAAAAGAATCTGGGATTCAGAGAAGTGGCGGTGGCCTGAGGTCAGAGGGCAGAGCTGGTCTTTGAACTCCCATCTGTCACTCTCAGGCCAGAAACTGAGGCGCAGGCTGAGGGACAGAGACCAGGGCTGTGCCCACCGTGCCAACTTAGTGGCCTCTCTGAGCTGGGAAGTTTGGAGCTCACCTGCTGGGACCCTGAGAGAGGGGAGCGTAGGGGACCCTGGAGCAACCACAGCCATCCTAAGGGGCCAGCCACCCTTCGGCCCAGGGCTGCCTGCTCTGCGCTCCTCCTGCCCAAGTCTGGTTGGGGAAGGGTCTGGAAACATGATGATCCATCTGTCACCTCGAGGTCCCCAGCCAGGGTCAAAGGCATCAAGGGAGGGAAGGTGGAGGCCTTTTCTCCTCAGTGTTAATCAGACAGGGAGCTCCTTGAGGGGAACCTCAGGCGTCTCGCATCAAACCTGACCTTGAGGGGATGCCAAGGCCAACAATCACTAATGATCATGCCAATGACAGTGGCAGCCACGACTCACAAAGACCTCACTGTGCACGGGACAGTTCTCAGCACCAAATCCTCCCTCCCTCAACCCTAGGAAGTAGGTACATCATACCCATTTGACAGACAGGAAATCGAGGCACAGAGAAGTAATGGTGTGCCCGAGATGGAATGTGCAGCACAAGAGGGCTCTAGCTGTCCAGACCTTTTGCCAGAAACGTCACCCCAACGGGGGGGTGTCCTTGGGAGCTGTGCCTGTGCAGAGCACAGGGCCTCAGCTGAAGAAGCGACACACTCAGGCCCTGGTGAGGCCTCCTGAGCTGACGGTGCATGGCTGGGAGGTGGGAGCAGGTGTCCAGCCCCCTGTGTGACACACACAAGTCGCTGTCCCTCTCTGAGTCGTTGTCCTGTGCTGTCTCGTGTGAACGCCATGGAATTCCAGAGAATGGAACCCACATGTTCTCAATTAGGCTTCCCAGCTGCCGCCAGTTCTGCTTTGCAGCTGGCTGGAGACCAGCGGCTCTGTCCCCCCAGCCCCTTCCTACCCATTGGTAGGTGGCCGGCCGACAGAGGAGCCTAGGGGTGAAGGTCAACAGAGGGGGGCTCCCATAAAAGGCCCTCCAGAGGGAATGATGTGGGACCATCTCTGAGGGGCCCTGACTCCCCTTGACCCCTGTAACGCCGGGCCACTTGGATGTTTGAACGCATTCTACTGAGTAGAACCAAGGCTGAGAGCTGGCTCCGTTTTGCCCTCCTCCAGGGCCTCCCCCAGGGTCAGCGAAGCCCCCATGGGGCAGCAGGTGTGTCTGCTGCTGGCCCCCACCACGACCATCTGCCTCCAACCCTGGCTTGGCCTTTGGGGAACTTCCCCCAAACCCAGCCCTCCGGTTTGGGAAGACTGACTCTAAACCCAGCCTCGGGGGCGGGCGGGTGCCCAGACCACCCTGGCCTCAGCAATTGGTTCAGAGACTGTAGGGAACCCTGGTTCAGCCAGTGAGACTCGTCTATGGGACGGCTGCAGAACCAATGAAAGCTCTTCTTTTTTTAAAAAAACCCTCACCTGAAGACATGCTTAGAGAGAAAAAGGGAGGGGGGGAGGAGGAGGGAGAGGGAGGGGA